AAAAAAAGAGGGGGGGGGGGGGGGGGGGGGGGATAAAACCACAGGGCAAATGAAAGAAGAAGGGGGGGAAAAAAGCAAAGAAAAAAAAGAGGCAGTATGGACCCAAATGGCAAGGAATCTTTCGATCTGGCGTTAAGTGGCTCTGTGACAAGCCAAGCCTGATGCGGTGTCATCTCTTACTAGAGACAGGCATGCTTTGCTGGGATCAGATGGTAAGAGGATGTGAAGTCTTCCCTTTCACTTCGCTCCATCATAAAACAATCAAAATATAGGGCCATATCATGTCATCAGGTTTTTAAGCAGACCTCCCCTTTGAGATCTCCTAAAACCTGGTGGGATGATCTGAGTCACTGAAACTGAGCCGACTGCGATACTGAGAAGTCAGAAGCAGCACCTGAAAGCTCACGTTTTTCATCTACCTGAAAGAGAACTTGATTTCTAGCGGGCAACAATTTTCCATTTTACACGAAGCTATCCTTTTCCTTCTCCCCTCCTGCACATAATTGAGCCCAGCTCTTGTATCAGCATCACCCCTTCGCCAGGCAGTACGCTGAAGTACCGCTCTCGGAGTTATTGAACTTTAAACTACAGACTAAGAAACTGAGTACGGAATCAAAAAAATGCAGTTTATTATTGTAGATTATTCTCTCTTTTGATATAACCATAGAGTCGAAAATGAAAGAAAAGCACATAGGAACATCACACGTGGTTAGTTAGTAACTCAAGATATAAAACAATTTTGCACAGCAAAATATGTAAAAGAAAAAGTAACTGACAAGATTTTTTTATATTTATTGTGGTAAGATTTACTTTCCATTTTTTTTTTTTTTTAAAAGACAGGATATCAGTCCCTGAAAATAAAATTTACTGATTATTGCCTTTAAAACTGTGGAATTTTTGAAGTTACAGAAAATCCAGTTCTGCACCACAATACAACTGTAAAAAAATCTGCATCATTTTAAAACTGTGCAGTAATGCCATCTTTATAACTGCATAAATTGTATTAGCGTTCTAAACAGGTTCGTAATTTTTTTTTTGTCGTTTTTGTATTATATGCTTGCAGGTTATATCTTAGTGCAATTCAGTCCCAAATACTTCAATTTTGAAAAAAAATCACACTGCCTACCAAAAAAAAAAAAAACCCAACCCAAGCAACACGTATAGCTCGTTGTCGGTGTGGTACCGCTGAGCATTCCACCTGCGGGCCTGTATCTCACATCGGTGAAATTAAAAATATGAGCTCAGCCCCATTTTACCGGTGGGTGTGAAATACCAGTCGTCTCACGAACATGCTATTTTAAAAAGCCTCCCTGTTCTGTAACAATCGTCTGGCCAATTTTAGTCCAAGTTCTTCTAGAGCGTAAGGACTGAACTGATTTCAAAGTTTTCCTTATTTCCAAGGAAAAGGAGCAGAGACATATTTAAATCCAAGTATCCAATGCAGTTTGTTGCAAAATTGAGAATCCGTCAGAAGCAGAACATGCTGCGAGGGAAATATCAGGTCCACTCGCTTTGATTTATATCGGGGTGAGTCCGGAGAGCTCTGAGCCGGGTTCTCCATTTGTCACCGTGACCGCACAGCCTGGCATCTTAAAAGCAGAGCTCACTGAAAACAGAGCACTCCCTAGCAAAAAGTGACACTGACATTCAATCTGGGTTTATTTTTTGCAGGGGAAGGGGAGGGAGGACAGGACTGGTCTGGTTCCCTACGCAAAGGTGGTTTATACGGTTGCTCTCAGCATCTGTCCTCGCTGAGGTCGGGGCAGACCGACTCAGCTGGTACACAAGGTTTTGGCAGTGGCAGTCACAAACTCCGGACAAGCCACAGCGCAGGCTGCCACGTGCCAGCAGGGTGGATCCGAAAGGACACGCAGGGAGCCTGGGATTACGGTGGTGGCGATGGCAAAAGCACAAACCCGTAGGAAATCAAACCTCATAAATTGAGGGAACAACAAAAGAGCTTTTTTTTTGTAGTTAAGATATCAGGATGTTATGTTACTGAAGTGTTGAGTGATTAATGTTTTGGATGATCAGCCCTGAAAAGCGGATAAATGGGAAGAACATGATTTATGTTACGCTTCAGCAAAATTTAAGCTGTTAATGGAAAAGGTTGCAAAGTCTGGAATTTCAAACCCCAGTTACAGCTGGATGGGTTGGGTTGGTTCCCTTTGTTTTGGCAACTTTTCTGGATTACATTGCCCTCCTCGTTGAACTTCCTATCTTTTTCCTCCTTGGACTTCCTATCTTTTTCCTCCAAAAAGTAACACCTCTTGCAACTGAAAAGAAATGTGGCAGTGGAAATTATTTTCATTTCCCTCTTGCAGATCCTCACGGACTTCACACCTTGCCACAGACAGCTGAGTGGCCGTCTCTGCCTCCCCAGCAGTACTTACTGACTCTGGGTTTCAGAAACAAATACATTGGAAAAATCTTGGAGAGGTGGTCAAGTAGAAAACTGCCAATCTTTTCAGGTACGCCAACTTGCTTAATAGCTATGGGGTGACCTCCACGATCCCTGCTAAATGAGGGGGATCGGGGGGTTCTTGGGACCTGTTTCTCTGTGCTGGTAGCCCTGACAGCTCCCCCCATCCTCCTCCAGTTTACCCATCGTCCTGCTAGATCCTCTATGGAAAATGTATATGAATAAACACAGTATATGGGTTTGTGCTTTCATTTCCTAGACCGGAAAGCACCTTTCTGTCCTCCCACAAAAGAAGAAACAAAAAGATATTGGGATAACACTGGGAAAAAGATCGTGCCAGTGATGGATTTTATAAGCAGCACCAAATTAACTGTGAGTATAAAATTCCCTTTCTGGTGTGTGGTTTGTGTGGCAGCAGAAGCCTGTGCGTGTGTGAACGACGTGTGCTCTTTGGTGGGCAATTCGTTCTGCACGCGCTCCTCCCCTGTCCAGAAATGCTCGGTGAATTGCATTAGGAACAGCTTTCAGCTGGGATTCAAATACTTTAAAAAGTAGCCCTAATTATTTAACAGTGTACCCAGTTTATTTTAAAATCGCTTTGCACGCAATTTTCTCAAATCTTTATGGCCTATTATGTTATATCCCTACTTCACATAACCACCAAAACTACTCACTAGTAGTATTTAATACCCGTAGTATACTATGTGTATCACCAGGATCTCCATCAAGAGTTAATAATTGCTACTTGAAGCATTTCTAGTGATTTAGATCCCAATCCCTCTGTAGTGAAGTGTGTGAAATAACCTTCAAATCTGTTACAACCATATTGAAGGTATATTAGTTAATTCTCCTCCATACTTTTCCGCAATAATGTACACAGCTTTTTAGCACCATGGCTTTTGATTAGCACAAAAGGTCAAAAATCAAATTTGCATGTAGACTAGACTGGTTTAATGCAATTCTTAAATTATTCTCCTGAAAATAAGTGGAAGAAGCCTCTCCTCCCCAGATTATAAATGCTAATGTTAACGCTTTTTCCCTAGCAATAACAGTTTTTTAGTTTGCTGTATGTTGAAGGAATCAGAGCCATTTCCTCGTCAGGGGTGTCTTAGCAAATCACAGGATTTATATTCTTAGGTTTTGATACCAGATAGGACAAAACCTGCTACTTAGCAACCCCTAGCAAGGAAGAAACATTAGGTAGATATTTGGGGAAGCGATTTCTCCTTTACTCCCAGAGAGCAGCTGCTGAAACAACAGTAAGTGCTTGAACTGACAGGCTTGGTGGGAGGGAAAGGTGCTGGGTGCTTTGCCAAAATGGGCTCTCCGAGGGCACCCGCATGGGCGTGAGGCTCCGGGTGGAGCGGGCGGAGGGCAGACACCCCCACGGAAACTGGGGGAAAGCTGCTGCTTTCCAGTTCTTTCCTGAAGCCATGTGCTCTTGGCTTCGGGTGACCAAAAGCCCAAGTTCTTGGCTCATAGAAGTGGCGCCTTTGGGCAAGTGAAATACCTGTTATTGCTGCGTGCCTTGCACTTCAAACACTTAAGAAGCTACAAGTATAAACAGATGGTAGGTAGGGTACTGGGTACAGCATAAAACCCTGGTCTTTCTGAAAGCCTCAGTAAAACTCCCATTTTTTAATTTTTTTCCAGCCTCACAGTTCTTTCTGTGGGTCTAACATAGAGCTTTGAGAGGTGGGATTCCTCTATTGCAGTTACTCAGTTTCTAAAGAGTTTCAGGAAGAGAAGAAGCTTTGAAATCAGATCTCTCTCAGATTCTACCCTATTCTGTAAACAAATTTGGAGGAACAGGACCACATGGTTCAAGCAGAGATACATGGTATCTGGTACCCAGGATATAGGGAAAAGAAAAACTCATCACGTAAGAGATGAGAGCGGAGCGGTCTGTTAGGATTGCTCCAGCCAGTCCCCACTAGCAGTATGAATTTACACTGCTCCTACTCAGTAATATTTTCTACCAGCTCTAGACCTCACCTCACACATTTAAATATCCGTGCTGAAACAGAAGGCGGCTCCCAAAACCACAGGGTGCTACCCCAGCACCACTGAAGTCAGCAGCAAACTTGCATTTTTTTTCCAAGGACGTCAGCACAGCGGCCACGTGGGTCAGGCAAGGGCTACCCCAGCACTACTCTCCAGCGGCAGCAAGAACGGGGTAACGGGCCGGAATCACGGTCCTATAGATTTATAACCTGCCAGCAGGGGGTCACAGTATGGGAGCTTTAATGGAGAGGAGGAAAGCCCCGAGACAGAAGAAGTTATCGCTGAGTTAGAACAAACATCTGCCAATTCCACACCCATTATCGGCGGAAAACATATTCACTTTCCCTTCGGTTTTCGTAGCTTTGAATGATCCAGGCAAGATAGAACCTCTGACCCAAGGAGCGAATGACAAAGCCAATTATACCTGATAATACAGATAAGCACAGAGCCACAACTGCTCCGCTACTGCTGATTAAAATCTCTTTAAGGGCCTGGCAGAGATTCTGCTTCCTTGAAAGTATTCCAAAACTTTCCTCAAGCTAGAAATAAGATTCCATCATCTTTCCATCACACACAAACTGAATTAAAAACTTCTGGAAGGCAATCTTCAGATACAGACTCTAGCTCTACAACTTACTTTAAGAAGATAAAAGAATATATTTGATTTTAATAGCACAAGCATTCCTTTCTGCCCTCTTCTTCATTTGCAGATGCCAACGTACAATCCAAAATGCCTGCTCTAATCAGATCTTTTATTTTTTTTTTTGACAAAAACATCTCAGTGTTAAAGCAGACCTTATTAAGCCATGGCAACACTTAAGATAAGGCAATTCTTCCACCTGTTTTGCAGCTACACAGCCTAGAGTTAAACATATGATTTATACAGGCACCACTGTTGGTAAGGCATGAGGTTAAATGTTAAAAAAGCAGAGCGTTTTCTATTGCCCCCCCTTCTTCATCAAGAAGAGCCAGTCCCATTTAATGGAGGGGACATCTGCGTATCGTAAAGCAAGAAGCACGTGAGAGGGGATGTCGCAGTCCGGTCCCCACGCAGCATCGTCTGCTGCTGGTGGGGGAACGCCAGAAACCTCACCTACCCAAAAATACCTACCATGGCACAGAGGTTTTGGTGTGTGCCTTAAAAACTATGTATCAGCCAGACCTTCAGCGACTCATGCTCCCATCAAGATTGCCAGCACTGACAAGTGGTTATTCCATCAAGTGATTTCACCGGGGCAATTCCCACCGCTGTGTACACACCAAGTTTGCCTTTCTCCTGCTGTAGTCCCGTATCGGTGGCACATGATGCTACTTAACAGGAGAACCGGTAGCCAGAGGGGCTTATTAGACTGCTCATCTTATAAAGGTGAACAAAACCTACCCTAGGGTTCACAGCATGATGGGTACATGTACAGATCTCACCGTTTCGTTGTCTGTTTTGTAAGCAGAGGGAAAGTGTTTACTACGTACAGATTTCAGAATTTTCTGGAGGATACCAAGGGCATTGAAGAAATATTATGATGGATTTTTTCCACTTGTTATTGCAATACACTACAGCGATGCTTGCAAGGCAAAACCTCATTCAGATTTTGAGCTGAAAAATAGCAATAAAGGCTCCACAACAGAAAAGAAGAACTACTGGGGGGCATTCCAGAGTTTTGCGAAGTGGTGCTCTTAAAGCTGATGGTTAAAGAGGCTGCACATACTGGATGTGCCAGATCCTGCTTTAAATCCAGGCTGACCAGCCACTTTTTTTTCTTTAGCATGCCTAGCATTCAGCACTTAAACTTTATTTATAAATAGAAGTGGCATAACGGATGACTCCTTTCTTGAGTGTAGAGAAAAGCAAAAAGTGGGGGTATGATCCCAAAATTCTCAATAGATGAAAGGACACATGATTCACTCCTCACATGCTCTCCAGCTCCTTTTTGCAGTGAAAGCCTGTCCTGTCTCCGCTCCGGCTATTTAGCAATAGCGGGAAAGCTCCATCCAGAACAGGCTGATCTGGTTTGACTAGGTGCTTTTTCATCCCAAGGACAGAAGAATGAAGATGTCCCAGGGCTGATCCTCAGGCATCAGGACCTTACTGCTCTCCTAGAAGGAAGGTTTTCAAAGGTGCCTCTGGAGAAAAACACCCTTTTTGTTGTTGTTTAAAGGGAATTCGTGCAGCAAAAGGTTTTCTGGGGAAAGCTCTCTTGGAAGGACCCCTGGGTCAGGTGAGGCTGCCTGCAAAGAATAAAGTCCTCAAGAGGAAGTCCATCAATTGCTCATTTTTACTTTGTTCTTTAAATTCTCCTTGGAATACCAGATAATAGGGGTGAGGCCCATCTAGAAAGTGACAGCACCATAATTTAATCATTTCTCGTTCGAATATGTTACTGCATTTCTAACGAGGATGCAGCTGTGACTCCACAAACCACATTTGTTGGTTCCTTTTCTACCTGGTTCCTCACACGTGCACCTCTTCTCTTTGCTAATGTTGCCACCTCTTTCCCACTGAAGCCTCCATTTAAGTTTGCTTTTCACTCACCCTTCCCTGTGCCTACTTAAGCTGGTTTCACCTTCATCTGATCGCTTGGTCTCTCTGTTATGTGTTTTACTGCAGGTTCATAGCCCCTCGAATTCTGCTCTAGTTCATGTAATTCTCATCATGTGCTTCAGCTCCCCATGGAATTTTTTTTCTCCTGCCAGCAGCAGTTATTTACTTTCTCTTTCTGCATTTTTCATTGTCACTGAAACACCACCTCTCACAATGTTCCACCTCCTCTAATCCCTTCAAAAAAACCCCTGCTGTCGGTTATTTATTTATTTACTTCCAACCTACTATAAACTTAAATCGCATTGCTCTGTCCGCAGAGTGCATGCTGGCACAGATGCCCAATTTGTTTCCCATAGCTACGTGGCATGCTCTCATATTTTTCTGGAAAGTCAAGCAGAGAAAAAAATGTTTTCTTTTTGCCTTTACTTTCTTAATCATTGGAGAAGCCCCCAACAGACACAGCACGATGAGAGATTTTTACCTGCTTTTCTTAGCTGATGACTCAATATACTCATTTCTTAGTGCTTACACAAAAAGGTTTTGAGGGGATTTCAAGAACAGCAGGAAAAAACCCTTTTGCTGCATCTAAAACGTTGTGAGACTATTTCATGTTGATAAGAGCTCTCTTTCTCTCTCATTAACTGATTGCTTCTCCTTATTTTAATGCACATGGCTCTACCTGGGAACACAGCTCTCTGGCTTTCAAACGCTGATGATCAGGTGGAGATGGGGCTCCATTTTTTTCCTTGCTTTAGTGCCATGCTACCTAGACTGTGTCAGATGGACAATTTCGCATATCAGAGATCACAGAAATCCTTTTTTTTTTTTTTTTTTTTCCTGTTATCTCCTACTAATATAGCTCAGGTCCTCAGAAAAGTACTCTTCAAGTGATAAAAACAGTTTGTCAGAAGGTTGTCCTGGTCTTCCAAGAAGGAAGGTCAACAGAAGTTCATATGAAGGTAGGCCTGGAGGGCTCTCCTGGCTCCCCAAGCCAAAACACATGCTATTATACACCTTTGTGTCACATAATATCCTATTCATAAACTGAGTAAAAGCCATCTTAGGACCAGTTAGCCTTTCTGCCTTTTCTACTCTTGGTGAAACACACTGCAGACCTTCAACCTGGATTATAAGCAGCTTAATTGCCACCCCAGTCTTATTTGTACCTATTTATACACAATGGTCCTTCTGTTATCATTGTCTTTTATCTCTCCTTCCCTTTTCAGTTTGGTCTCTTTGGAATTTAGCCCTGCATTATGTTTATTGAGAAAAATAATAAGCCCTTGGCATTTTCATTAATAGACTAATCAAACCACACTTCTCTCAAAAGAGGTATCTCCTACCGTGCTGGCTTCTCTGCTCCATGATGCTTGGGTTTAAATTAACCTCTCCAAACACAGCTGACTGGAGCGATCTGCAATACTCCAGAGAACTGCTGACCAGAGCTCCTCGTCCCTCTGCCGTGCCCAATTCTCTCCTTCAGCTGATGGAAATACCAGCTCCTTGGCTCAGCTCTTTCTTTTGCAGTTGCTTTCGTACCTGGAGCTCCCAGATTATAGCTGCGTTCCTGCCATTGGTCTCCAGTGCATCATCTTTTATTTTATACTATTTTATAATTATATTAGGTATTATCTTAAAAGGGATAAAATTAACTATATCAGGATTATTTGTATTTTTCTGGGGTTAAAAGAAAACAAAACTTTTCCCATCACTACTATTCAGATGTATAGAAAGCAAGGACAGCATTGTTATTAAAATCTTAAACTTGGTACAAGAACTATATCGACACCGATGCCACTCGATGCTTCCCTAGCCCAAATTTCTGCAAGACCAAGATCAACATCAAACCAAAAGATCAAGGTTTTTTGCCAAGAGAAGTTCAATTTAGAAACAGGTCACCATTTATTGAAAAATAAATGTCATTTAAAACTTCCCTTTCACCCTGTTCAATATATGATTGGACTTAAAATCACCTCCTGGGAAGTAGATGTAAATGGCAGCATCAGCATGCCACCGTATGCGACTGCCAGAACAAAGGTCTACTAAAAATACTGGGGATTATTTTGAAAATTGATGCCAATTCTTGGAATCTCAGGCACTTAAATGCGTTCAAAACCCTGATTAGATGAATGGAAATTTCACTCGGAAGGGCTGAGCATTCAGATATGCAACGGCTACATCTCGTCAGGAATTTGGGCCAAATTGCCTTTGAAAATCTCAGTAGGGTGCTTATTTGCATTTTTGGCATCAGAATACTTTTGAAAATACGGCGGTAAGGCTGCCATCCATCAAACACTTCAGCAGGTGCTGAGATTTTATGCAAGCACTTGGCTGAGTTTCTGTATTCACATGCTTAAAATTTACCATGTGCCTATCTGCCTGGAGGATCAGAGACCACCTCTGCAGGTTTTAGTCCCTCAAGGTTATATATTTGAAAACTATGGATTTGCCTAGTCTGCAGACAAGCCATAAGCTGACACACTGCACGGTTTCCTCAACCTCTCCACTGAAACTCTAAAAGCAATCCATAAAAGTCAGATAATATTTAACAGAGGGGATTATGGAAAAGCCATCTCCAAATGAGAAAATTGTATTCATGTTTGTTATCTGCTGTCTCCCCTTCACATATATTATGACTACATATTTATTTTTCGAGTACTACCGGAGAGATTATGGAAAGAAAGTCTTTTTTTTTCTTATTTCCCCCCCCCCCCCCTCTATAAAGATTGTCAACAGCATTATCTTAAAGGTGCTGGATGCCATATTGCTTACAGTATTACCGACACAAATAAATATAAAGATAAGCCTCAAGGCATAGGATGCCAAGGATAAGTGCGTTTTCTGCGACTCTCCCTGTAACCTACTCGCTTTTGCTGAGAAAACAGGACAATCTCTGTGCGTGCTCACGTGGGATAGAGAAGTTGCATTACGCCAGCCTCCTCGGCCGTTTGCAGAGAGTCGAGGAACAGTCCCAAGTGATTAATCAAGCGATGGCTGAGCTAGCAACCATTCCCTACCTGCAGGACATCAGTCAGCAGGATGCCGAACTGGTAAGTATTTATTTCTAATGCTTGTTTTGGCCTGTGGAGGCAGGGAGCCAGGGAGGGAAGGGTTGGGGCAGAGCGCCGGGCTGCAATTTGCTTGGGAAGTCATTTTTTCGACTGCGCAGACCTGGAGTAGTTTTAAAATCTGACTGCAGTGCCTTGTCGGAGAAGGAGCTAATCACCTGCACAGATGACTTTTATAGAACCAGCATGACTCATCTGTAGGCATATTTTTAAAACCTCTTCTTTTCCCCCAAACCTCCCCAAATCAGTCTGGGAAAATGATTGCGGTTATTCAGATCGTGCTACTTTAAGATAGCTACCATCAGAAGGCACCTGCAGCAAAACGGGCCGGATCTAGTTAAAGCTGAGGAGAAAGGGGGGAAAGGAGAGATTTTCCTTTCCTGGCTCCACCTAGGACTTGCTCCCTGTCTCCGAATAAACCCATCTACCTTCCGTGCTTTTGTTTTCCATTGGGAAAATGAGGGCAGTGATGCTAGCGGGGCTGTTGCAAGACGAGAGTCATTAATAGCTTGATGGCGTATCGATAACCTGCAATTGGAAAGCACCGTACGGTTGTTCTTCCAAAAGGCGGCCAGGTTATCTGATGGGGGAGGGAGGGAGCTCACATACATGCAAATTTTCAGCATTTCGTTCTAGCAAAAGAAAAAAAAAAATATGTAAGTCCCTCCACAGTCCCTGCATTTAAATGCAGCCCAATTTTGATGATCCAACTTCGGTTCACTAAAACTCTTGGTTTTCCCAAAGCCGGTCCCTTGACATTTGTTTGCAGTCCTGCAAAGCTCCTAAGCTCTGTAGAATTAAAGCTTCACAGCAGCTTGCTTTAGGGAAGACGAGCAGCGGCCCGCAACTGCAGGAGGTGGTTGCCAGACTTTGAAGTCTGGGCTCGAGATAAGGGGAAACGACATTGCAAAGAAACTGTGTTATTAAAAGACATTCTCCTTTTGATGCAAGTTTGCTGGTATTAGACTTCAGCAGGCCCCCGTTTCAGGGCTGTCTAAAGGGTCTGGGGTTATTGGCACATATTTCAGCGATAGGTGTTTCTCTAGGGTACAATATTTTCCGTACATCACACGTCGGGCGCAGGCTATTACGCTGTTGCCTGTATCTTGTCATGTAGTAATCACAACCCTGACCCCCCCTGGAAAGCTTTTTGCAGGAGGCTCCAGGCCACCCGAGACAAAGGTCCTCAGTCTCTTAGGGGCAGGACTGGGCAGAACAAGGGTCCATGCTGGGACATTTAAGCGAGGGTTTGTAAATCTTTCAGCGAAACACATGCGCTTTGTTTACTGAGCCCAAGGTAAAAATGTTTTTTTTAAAAGAATAAAGGCAGAAAATTCCTAGCAGCTATCCTGCCCTGAGCATTAGAATGTATTAATTCAGCATTCGTTTATTTTTCTTTGTCCTGTCATCCTGCTGTAAAATATATCTGTAGTCTGCAAATGGAGGCTCGGCTGCTTTGTAGCTAGAATATTTTACTAGACTTCAGGCACCACAGTGTTAAGGCACGAGGCTGTAAGCAAGAACTTGCAGAGTGGCTTCACCAGGGAGCGATTAATGGGCTTTGCCTCTCCTGGTGGCACCGGTCCACACAACACAGGCTCCTCTTGTGCCAGGAGGGACCATGTCCGTACCGCATCTCAACAGCATCACCATCGTTGGGTCTGCACACCCTAACCATCCAAGATGAAGATGGTTAGATCTTCACAGATGAGGATGGAAGATCCTCATGTTCTCAGCTTACCGGCCATCCTCCTCATTTCACCGGGGGCCAGGCAGGATGAAACCTCTGCCGGACTGGGCTGTACAGAGGCAACCCCCCACATCCCTGGGGTCAGAATCACAGCACCCATGCTGACTCCCTGTGCTTCTCATTCTTCAGCAACATTTCTAAGAGATATCTAACTTCTTTCCATGAAGAAAACTGAGCGGGCCATATTCTAATCTCACTTGTACTAATAAAAATTTAAAATAATTCCTCTGAAGGTCCTTCTGACTTTACATTGGCAAAACCGAGATAAGGCTTTATGACCAAGCGAGGCAGTTAAATTGCACGAGTTAGAAAATGCTAAAGATGCCAAATGTTTATTATCACATACAGCATAAGTTGTATAAAGTTTAAAACATACTGAATTTATAATGGTGCAATTTGCACTGATACAGCAAGGATCCCAAAGGCATTTCAAGTATAAACTCTTCTGTGTAAACGTCTCCCTGTAACTAAATAAGTAGTCTTAACCTATGGCACAGAGAACCTCAAATGAGGCCTTTTTAGATCAGTATTTACTCACAAACCCTGGGAAAATAAAGATATCAGTTCGCTTGAAGAGCGGAATGTAAGTGGGGAAAAACCCTGAAGAAAATCTTTCTAAGGTTTGTGATTTCAGTGTCACTGTATTTATACATCCTGAATCAAGATGAAGGCTTGTTAAAAAAGCAGAAATCTATTTCAATTTAAAATCAAATGAGGACAAGATGTTTTTAAAAATACAGCGTTTTTCCTCGGAGGGGATTTTCCAAAAAAGACCAGCTTTGGGAGAATTACTGCGCTTTGCCAGCTGCCCGCTCTTGTAGCACACACAATTCCTTTGCCAACAGAGCTGGTAAAAAAAATTGGGTGATAAAAATTAAAATGGGAGCACACGCTGGGTGCTTTTCACCAGCGTGTGTCAATACCAATGAAACTTTAATTGGGAAGGTTTCTGGTTTTAACTTCTTGCCTGAAGCAGCGCGGTCCCCAGCTTGGTTGGGCTGTCAGAGCCACCCCTTGGGGGTGACAGACCGATGTCCTCGTCCCTGCCCCATGGGTGCTGGTCGACCAGATCTTTGGAGTGAATCACTCCAAGAAAAGCAATGGAGAAATCTTCCCCACCCCCTGAGCGGTTCCTCCTCTGCCCAGTTTGACACAGGATCTGTGCTTTGCCCATTCTGTCCTTAATACCCTTAATCTCTGGTCTCTGTCTGTTCCGGATTCATAGAGGGAGATTATCTGTCATAAAAGTATTGTGACGGAAAATTTCTGACAGGTTCTTGACTCCTTTCGCATTAAAGTCAGAGGCAGGAATTTGCAGGTTTATTTTTCATGAATACTGATGCGTAACTTAAAAAAAAAAAAATAAAAATTTTCATCAGATGTTTGGACCAATAAAATTCCACTTAATGGCTGCACAAGTGCAGAGAAAGAGGCTGGAGCCAACCGTAGGAAATCTATTTAGAGATTCAAAAGAAGATTCCCTCATCCTTTATCCAGTGTCGGGACACAGACAAAGGATTTTAACTTCAAAAAGCTGAATGCAAAGGTAAACTTGAGGAAGTACAGATCCGCTCCGTGAATCTCAAGGCAGCGTTTTTATATCTTGCGCAGATGAGCCTAAACATGGATGTTTTAGGTTTAATTACCTTATGTATTCATACTAGACTGGTGCCCATCTAGGTGCAGAAAGACAATTTCTCTATGAATGCGTACACTTATTCTGTCCAATTACTTGTAAGGAGTAAAAAATTTGGGAAGATGCCCCAGAAACTATCGCCTGGGTTCACTTGAACCAACCAATCATTTTGGAGTTGACCTAATAGAGCACAGCAATATCACAGGTGGCAAACACAAGTTTCTTCCAGTTTGTTCCACTGACACTAACGGCTACGCCCGGGAGGACACCCTGGATCCAACCCTTGACTCTTTGTTACTGAATTAAGAGCAACCGAACCATTTTCAAGTGTTTGGGAAGGGTGCTGGGTGAGGCAATGCTATGAGTAACCTGGAAGGGTACCGGAGTAGGGCAATGCTACAACAAAGTTGAATTTTAGCCTTCGCATGAACACCGAGGACTGATTAGCAAATATTTTCCCACAGCTTCCTTTTATAGTTTACACTAGAAATTGTCAGCCTTGTTTTTATGCTCTGTTATGCTGAATGATGGGGAGAAGGGAGGGTTTGCCAAAGAAAAAGGATAGTAAAAGCGGGGAAAATGAGCTAGATACTTCCAGCTACAGTAAAAGCATCTCAGCTTTAGTGTTGTCCTCTTGTGAGGTTTTACATGCTGCTTTAAATTATGATACATTAGCCTTGGGAGAAAATACTAAAAAGTATTCGTGTACAACACAGAATATCCCAGACAGCTAAAGAATGAAATATGGAGCCTTTCTTTTTCACAACCCAAGTCTTCCTTTACTAAGTGTAAACATTTACTGCATTAAAACATATAAGCCTAAATACAAATTTTCCAGAGGATTTTTTCCCCATTGTTAAGTATTTTATATCCACAATCACACAGTGTAATGGCTGAAGCGAAGATGAGGTGGCAGGGCTCATTGTGTGAAAGATGAGTAATAAAATCATCAGCGTACAAATGATTTTTTAATTAGGTTTTAATCTGTGTATTTAGAGAAGTTATTTCTGTGTGAATTCCACACTGATAATTTTTATCTTGGTGCCACAGCTGCAGTCGCTAATGGCAGATGCCATGGACACCCTTGAAGGAAGAAGAAGTGATAAAGGACGTGTGTGGAATAAAATCCAGAAGGTAAAAACCTGCAGCAAAGGGCAGGAGCGTATATCGTTCCTTGGGGAGTAAATGTCCACCTGAGTCCTATCTGTTCAGAAGGTAGAAAAGAAAGTAGGTGCCATTTGAAACCTGACTGCGTGCCTTGAGCTCTGTTAGTGCTCAGGCACTAACCACAAATACATATTTATTATTTGCTTTAGCCCCTACGGTTGATCTTTGTCCACGTTAATGGTCTCATGCGGTTATCTAATGCAAAAAAAAAAAAAAAAAAAAAAGGCAAGCTTTTTTTGGGTGGTAATTTAGGCAGGGAATAAAATTCAGCCCAGCAAATTAGGTCCCTTAGTGGGGCTCAAATGAGGCTTTGGTGATGTGAGAGGTAAAAGACATGTAAATGCCTTTCTGGAGTCTCTGCGCAGCAACAGGTCAATTTAATTCTTAAAGGATTTGTGAAGTGCGGGGAGTCTTGTGTTGGTTCTCTGTACAGATGAAGCTGACCCCATGTAATGAATAATAGGTCAGGCTGGGAAGTAATAGGAGTATCTTACATTTTTACAAAGCCTTTCAAACCAGAGCAAATCACAGCTCTGGGCGTTCAACGTCACTGACGTTCAGCCGTTTCTGAGGAGGAGGATAGCAACAGATCACCAGGAAGGGAAAAAGTTGCTAATGGTTCAAGGCATTGGTCTTACCCTACAGCCTGCGGCTCCATCGGAGCCCAGACGGACGCACGCTCACCCTGGGTCACGGCTGTGGTGGGAGGCTGGAGAACTGAGGGCTTGAATTTCTGCACTGGTGAGGATTGGGCTCTGATCCCAGGAAAGGGGCGATGGGACGAGGGGAAACAGCCTCAAGTTGTGCCAGGGCAGGGTGAGGTTGGCCATGGGGAACAATTCCTTCCCCTTGGGGCTGTCAGGCACTGGAAGGGGCTGCCCAGGGAAGGGGTCGAGTCCCCACCCCTGGGGGGATTTAACAGCTGGGCAGACGCGGTGCTGAGGGCCAGGGTTTGGGGGTGGGATGGCAGGGGTAGGGGAACAGTTGGGCTTGATGATCTTAAAGGGCTTTTCCAACCTCAACGATTCTACGATTTGAAGTTGTCCCTCTTTGGGATTTAGGGTTTATAGACAGACCTCACGGAAGATGCTGAAAACCCAAACCCTGCTTCCATTGAGCCAGTGTAACCAGGGTAAGCAAATAAGACAGAGGTGTCTGAAAGAAATCACAGGGTGGCGGGTCAAGGTATTTTCAGGGTCCGTATTTCCAAGTGCTGTGAATTAAAATTTCAGAAGACATCTCCCCAGAGAAAATCTGAGGCAGCGTATTGCCTCGGTTAGCCGTCAGAGCAGTGGCTCTTAATAAAGTTTTCCAAGTACAGAATGTTTTCAGAAAGTAACCGAAACCTAAATGCCCCAAGTTACAGACAGACTGGGTTTCATCCCTTTCAAACGCTCGTGAGGCAAAACAACGGGCAAATATTCATTCTGCTTTTACGTTGCGCCAGGATAGCCTCTAAATCTCTCACACCTGCCTACAGATCGTACAAGAATCTTTTGCGCCACAAACCCTATGTAAGACATGAATTATGTATATTTATACAATTACCTACATATTCCCTGCCATATATAATAAACATTGCTAACGAGGCGAATGGAAAGGGTCAATGATATATTACAAATAACCGATTCCCTGTACTCCTCTAGCACTTATCCTTCCCATTTTCAGACAACGGACTTAAATATCAAAGGCAGCTTTCCCAAGTTCTTCCCAAAGTCAGGATTTTAATCCACAGTTAGGTGTTTGAATAACCAGCCCGATTTTCACAACTCTGAATGACCACGGTTCAGAGGCTGCTGAGTAAAGGGTGGCGGCTGAAAGTTAGACCAAGTACACAGATACCCAAATATTTATTAATAACGCTCATTAAAACTTCCTTGGTGGTACCAAAAAGATTCCCACGTATTTCAACAGGCAGTGGCTAATATTTCACTGCAAATTCAGTAAAACAAAAGTATTTTCTGTCAGCGTATTCCTACGTATGGATGTACGTCCTTTGTGTTCCTCTGGATGCTTTTGCTTTCAGTATAATCTTAACAGCTATCAAGCTAACATTTGAAAATGGACTGGTATCCCATGCTATGCCACAGGAATCTGTGCATAATTCAATATTCAGGAATAAAATTTACCAAAGCCAGGAAAATCTGCTCTCTGCCATTTTAAAATGTGGTGCTTCAAAATTTGTTTGCATTCTGAACAGAGCTTTGCATTTCGTTTTTGACGACTCGGATGACTACTTGATCCCAGGCATCTTGTTCCAAGCTCACTGTTTGTTTTGCAATACAGAAATATTTTTCTGTATTATATCAGAACAAAGACATGAAAAGCATCGTCAAATTTTTTTTGTACTTTACTTTTTTCCAAAATTTAATTTCAGCACATTCACCATGTTCTTAGGAAAAAATTCTCTTTACATAGAGGAGACAGGAAAACGCTCAGGGAGCTCGGGGGTTTTCTGATGGATTTTTTTGTTAGGTTTGTGTGGGTTTTTTTCTTTTTTTTTTTACATCAGCCCTAATTAAGGATATTACGCTAAATTAGAGCACTTTAACACATTGCTAAGGAGGAGGATTAAATCTGATGTTTAAGGATTGGTGTGGGGCGGATTACCACGTGTCACCTGTGCTAGAGCCATTTCAAAAAGTTCAGTATTTCTCCGTTCGCTCCTCACCCAATGCTGACTGTCGGTACAAAGAACCCTCACACAGACCTAGTTACAAGGTAGTTATTTGTATTTTTTGCTATTGCATTAATTTACATATATTGGAAAGCAAAAAAGAACATAAAGGAGTTTATACCAGCAGCTATAAACACAAAACTCCGGAAAGCTGACAGCTACGCTGCCACCAATGAAGTTTGGCTTTTGCAATAGAAACAGCTGTTGCACCTAATGAAAGCACTCAACGTTTTTTCTCTAATGCAGCAGAATTATAGCAGCGCCTATTTTCCAAATGGTTAAAGGGTCTGTCAGAATTGCCATTACAAACCACTGTTTTCGGAGTTTTATATTCCAGAGTCAGCCATAAAAAATTCATTCCGGCTGAAATCCGACACAGAAGGGCACAAAGCCTGACACCCAACCACTTTTCCGTTTGTCGCACTGGAGGGCTTATCAAATTAGTTTGAAATTAATCTGGGCAACTTTGAATTTCCAGGAATGACAAAGCAGTAAATATCTGTGTGGCTTCAAGTGGTTTGGGCGCGGCGCTGCTCATCCACTTCACTGACAAATTTATGGTTTTAAGCTACCTAATTTATCAAACGGGCTAATTAGTTTTGGAAGCTTTAAATACAAAGAAATGAAAAATGACCTCGTAATTAGCTGGAGAAAAGAAAACGTCACTGCACAGACGATGCCTTTCTCGGCAGTACCGGGCTGTGGACTCTCCAGCCACAAGGAGAGCTGACCCGGGCAGCCTACATTACCTTGGGAGGTCAGGAACCAACCTCCTCCAGAGGCTTTACCCACGTACTAGGTATCCCAGCCGAATGCCTCAGAGGCAGGAAAACCAGGCCAGGTCAGTCTCCCAAAATCCCCGTTCTCCAGGATTTCACCCACACTTTTCCATTCAGTCCCCTGGATAAAATGTGAGCTTTGTGTTAGCAATTTGGGGAAACACACCTCAGGGTCTAAGACCTGTCAAGCGATTAACAGATGGGCTGACTCCCAGGCTACTTCAGGAACATGGGCATTCCGAAAAAAAAAAATGTTTACCACCTTCCTTCTTTTTATAGTTGTCAGAAATTCCCAAACTGAACATGCTGGTGGCCAGGCTGCTGGGCTTACAGAGGATTCAAGGCACCATACTAGAGCTTAGGAATTATATTTATTTTTTTTTAAGTTACTGGCTCTGTCCAAATTGTGTTATAGGTTGAGTTGCAAAGGTAGTTAATAGCACACCATCAGTGTTTCATGAGGACAGACTTCCCTGAAGCCACCCTTATGAACGGGAAGCCCTCCTAAAGCAGTCAATGGGAAACACTATGGGAAAGAGCATCAAACCTCCTCTTCTAAACAGGCTTAAGCCTTCACCAGAAAACAGAGGTAGAAATGTACTTTCACTTACCGGGCTTTAAACTGTAAATTCACTTCTTAATTCAAATTATTATTTTAACAAGAGTGCCTTAGCCCAGCAGTTTGAGCAGTGGCCTCTGATGCACAAGTCTCAGCAGCAACGAGCAGGAAACTTCCAAGAGAGCTTGAGGAGAACCAACCTGATCATTTGACTCAGTCCCACAAGACTTGGTCCAGACACCAGGTCTCAAGCAAGTGGAAGGTGCTACCATAATAACCAGGTCTGGCCATTAGCACCCAGTTTCTTTGCTGACAAGAGTTACATATGTTGTAAGTGAAATCTGCTGTGAGCCTGAACGGTGGGACTAGTGGTAAAGTTTGGCCCTTCGTAACTCAAGGAACCGGGTCCCTGCATGGCCACTGCAGGACGTAATAGCAGCTACAGACAGGCAGAGGGATTTAGAGTATCTCAGATACATGAAACAGCAGGAAGGCTCCTCCTTTCCTCTACAGAGCCTTAGTTTCTTTGCAGTCTTGTAAGAAAAAAAAAAAAAAGAAATAAAAAGAGATGACTTTCCTGTCTCATAAGAATAAATTCATTAATAAAGTCTCACAATATTGTTACAGTGAGAGGCATTTCATTAAATAAATAGATGCTTTAGAGCCTATCAACCAGCAACTTTTGACATCCAAAGAGAGGAGAGCCAAATAAGTGCAAGTGCCAGTATGGTTCTGCTTCCCCTGCGAAGATAATAACGTAGTTCTACTTCTCTGCTTAGCCCCTAGGCTTTCATAGCAGTTTCATAGGATCCTCTTACCATCATCTGAACA